TGTTTTTTTAATGTTGAACCATCCCTGCATACCTGATATGAACCCCACTTGGTCATGATGAATGATTTTCTTGATATGTTGCTGCAGTCTATTGGCTAGGTAACCTCATATTCTTAAATCTATAAGACTAGGCAGCTTCTTTCCAAGAACATCTAATAGTAATTCATAGAGCATTTGTGCTGCCAAACATACCAAAAACGAAAACCAAAAGGGAGCTCTGGTGGCATAGTGCCTAAAGCATTTGACTGCTAACCAGAAGGCTGGCAGTTCAAACCCATCAGCCACTTCTTGGAAGGAAGCTTGGGCAATCTACTTCCATACAAATAACATTCAAACATAAGGATAAACTGACTTTTAATCATATCAAAGAGAGGCAGCTGTTGGATTCCTCAGGACTTTTCTAGAAACATATTATGAGTACAACCCTATCTTGGTGAGTTCAGTTTAATCCCTTTCAGCAGATGTGTACTAAGGGCAACTCATAGGCTGTACATTGGCTGCATGCCGTCCAATAATTAGGATGACATGCATACTGCCCTTGAAAGGCTTACAATACACTAAGAAAAACAAATTTTTAAAAACTACACATAATTCGTATATAATGTGATCAATGTGTGTGGGTATGTTGGTTAAGTTTTATGGGAACACAAATTAGGAAATGATTACTTCAGTTTAGAATGAAGTGGAGGCAAAAAAAAGCTAAAGAAAAGCAATTTTCAGTTTGAGTCAAGGCACACTAATGGTGACATCCAGATTCTCAGCAACCCTCACCATTACCCTGTGAGGAGCAGGCCTTCTGGGGTTTGGCTGGGCCGCTTATGACACTTCTCTGGTTCACAGGCCAAATTAATACCTTGTGGATACCAATGATGGAGTACGATTTCAAAGGAAATCCTGAAGTGGTAAAAAACAAGTGGTACCTATAAAACTGAAATGATCCCCATACAATAAAACATGAAGGAAAACAATAGAGATTTATATCCAGATTATGAGCATGGGCTGATGGTTCTTGATAGGGAAGTCTACAGCAGACATCCACCAGGGCCTTTAACACTTGGACTTGCCTTTTACTACCTCCCTTGTTGGAAAGCCCCAAATTTTCCATCACACCACTGCTGCAGGAGAAAGCCAAGGTACTAAGTCACTCTCAAGAAGGATGCTAACTCTTCTTTCTTGGATAATCCTATTTCCTGGCAACTCAGGTGGGACCGAAACAGAGTCATCCACTATTCTGGGGGAGACTTGGTAGCCGTGTCATCAAACCGTAAGATCCAGCTTCTGGACATCATACAAGTAAAGGAGATACCCATTGAGTTCCGGGGACATGCTGGGAGCATCCGTGCCCTCTTCTTGTGTGAGGAAGAAAACTTTCTCCTGAGCGGGAGTTATGACCTGAGTATCAGGTGAGTAACACAAGGAGGTCATGGTCCCCATCCTCCAAGGTACTAAAGTTAGTTTATGGAAGAGTATTCATGCTTTTCCATTTTGTATTTTTTGTAGAGTTATCCTAAGTTATACTGATTTCTAAAGTCGCCCACAACACTTTTTTTTTTAAAAAAAAAAAACCAAGGTAAAAACCAAGAATTTGGTATTGTTAAAGTTGAATAGGATAGATTCATTACAATCATCAGATTTATTTTCTAATTGAAGATGACTACCAATATACCTTTAGAGAACTCATGCACTTGGATACCAAAAGATACATGGCTGTTAATGTATGTTTTAAAAATGTATATACATACATTTTAAGCACAATTTGGCATCTATATTATAATTCATATCTGCCCAGACAATGAAAAACCCTATTTTCCCCTGAAGGAATCTATAAAAGAATTATAAATTATATCTTCATCTAAGAATGTTAAAAAAGAAACATTCTTCAGGGGAAAGTAGGTTTTTTGTTTTAAATATGGCTATGAATTATAGTATAGATGCCAAATAGTGCTTAAAATGTATATATACACATATTTTAAATACTATAATAAACACTTATGTACCCATTACTCAAACCAAGAAATGGAACATGACCATTCTCCAAAGCTCCCTACGTGCCCTTCACCTATTCCATCTTTCTTCTTCCCAACCCTTGCATTTCTTTATAGGTTTGACTACCTTTTTATATATCTCTAAATACATTGATTATTTCTGTCCATTTTTAACTTATATAAATGGAATCATATTTTAAAACTTCATCTTACTTCATTCTCACATTGAACTGTGTTTTTGAGATTCATCCATTTAATGTAAGTTGTGTTGTTGTTAGGTATTGTCAAGTCGGTTCTGACTCTTAGTGACAACAGAATGAAACACTGCTGGGTCTTGCACCTTCTTCATAATTTTTGCTATGTTTGAGACCATCGTTGCAGACACCATGTCAATCCATCTCATGATGGTCTTCTTTTTTGCTGAACCTCTGCTTTTCCAAGCATGATGTCCTTTTCCAGGAACTAGTTCCTCCTGATAAGATGTTCAAAATACAGGAGATGAAATCTCACCATCCTTGCTTCTAAGATGCATTCTGGCGGTACTTCTTCCAAGACAGATTTGTTCATACTTATGGCAGTCTGTAGTATATTCAGTATTCTTCAGCAACACCATAATGCAATTGCATCAGTTTCTCTTTGGTCTTCCTTATTCACTGTCCAGCTTTTGTATGAGTGTGAGGTGGCTGAAAATACTATGGCTTGGGGAAGGTGCACCTTAGTCCTCAAAGTGACATCTTTGATTTTAACACTTTAAAGAAATCTTTTGCAGCATATTTGCCCAATGCAATATGTCATTTGATTTCTTGACTGCTGCTTCCATGGGTGTTGACTGTGGATCCAAGTAAAATGAAATCCTTGGCAATTTCAATCTTTTCTCCATTGATCATGATGATGTTATTGGTCCAGTGGTAAGGATTTTTGTTTTCTTTATGTTGAGGTGTAATCCACACTAAAGTCTTTGTTCTTCATCTGTAAGTGCTTCATGTCCTCTTTGCTTTCAGCAAGGAAGGTTGTGTCATATGCATATCACAGATTGTTATTGAGTCTCCCTCCAATCCTGATGACACATTTTTCTTTACATAGTCCAAAATCCAAAAGAAACCAAACTCACTGTCATCGAGTCAGATCTGACTCATAGCAACCCCTCCTTGGGTTTCCAAGGCGGTATCACTACGGAAGTAGATTGCTCAACCTTCCTTCTGAGGAGTGGCTGGTGGGTTTGAGTCACCAGCCTTCTGGTTAACAGTCAAATGCCTTAGGCACTATGCTACCAGAGCTCTACATAGTCTAGTTTCTCTGATTATTTGCTCAGTGTACAGACTGAATAAATATAGTGAAAGGATATGACCCTGACACACAGGTTTCCTGATTTAAAACCACACAGTGTATACCTTTGTTCTTTTCAAATGACTGCATCTTGTTCTATGTGCACGTTCCTCATGAGCACAATTAAGTTGTTCTCGAATTCCTATTCATCACAATGTTATCCATAATTTGTTATGATCCACACAAATACCTTTGCATAAAACACAGGTAAATATCTTTCTGATATTCAGCCCAGATTCATCTGACATCTGCAATGATATTTCTCATTCCAAATAAGTAGCAGTAATTACTTTACTTTCACTGAGATATAGTATTTTATCAGATGAATATATCATAACTCATTTATTTATTCTTCTGTTGATGGGCATTTGCATTGTTTCTAGTTTTTTATTATTTCAATAATGTTGCCATAGAGTTCTTGGATGTGCATGAGTTTTTTTTTTTTTTTTTTAAGTTATATCGTTAGTAGTGGAATTTCTAGGTAGGAGTACCAAACTGTTTTTCAAATTGGTGTACTACTAATTTACACTCCAATAAGCAAGGTATGAGATATAAATCCTCACCAACAGTCTTTAACGTTATTTGCCAAGCTAAAAACAAACAAACAAAAAAAACCCTGCTGCCAGAGTCAATTCTGACTCATAGCAATGACCATTGGATTTCCTAGGAGGTAAATCTCTATGGAATTAGATTGCCTCATCTTCCTTCTGTGGAGTGACTAGTGGATTTGAACTGCCAACCTTCTAGTTAGCAGTCAAATGCCTGGGTATTAAATAGAACTTCATTGTAATTTTAATTTTTAACTTCCCTTGTTTTTAATGAGGGAGCTCTGGTGGTGTAGTGCCTAAGGCAATTGACTGCTAACCAGATGGCTGGCAGTTCAAACCCACCAGCCACTCCTCTGAAGGATGACTGGGTAATCTACTTCTGTAGTGATACCACCTCAGAAACCCAACGAGGGGTCACTATGAGTCAGATTCGACTCAATGGCAGTGAGTTTGGTTTGGTTTTGAGTATAGCCTGTTTAAGAAATCCTTCTCTATTTTAAAGTCAATGATATTTTCTTATAGAGTCTTTTTAAAGTCTTTATTTTATTTTTGATCTTTCATGTTTAGGTCTACCTGAATTTTATTTTTGTATAGTATGAGGTAGGGATTCAATTTCTTTTTTTCCCTTCTATTTGGAAATCTATTGTCTTAGCTCATTTATGGAAAAGAATATCCTTCCCCCCATTGGTCTTTATTATCTTGTTTGTCACAAGACAAATCTCCGTATTTTCTGGATACTATTTCTGGAGTCTTTATTCCATTCCATTTGATTGTTTGACTATTCTTGGTCAATATCACATTATCTTACTTAGTTTTTAAGACTTTATATCTAGTAAGGAAAGTCTGTTCCACTACACCCCTGCCCCCAATCTCATTTTTCTTCTTCAGAGTGTTTTAGCTATTCTTGGAGTTTTGTGTTTCCATCTGTCTTTCTTTTTTTTTCAGTTACTTGTGGACCTGAGGTGCTGATGATTGAGTTGATTATACGCCACAGTTTATGTAATACCTTATCATTGGTCTGTACAGGGCTCTGCTCCTGTTTTATCTATCTATTTATCATCTATCACCTATTTATCTATTTAATTTTATCTCTGTTCTTTACTTATATTCTTTTTTCCTCCACAACTACAATTCTAATCTTTGAAAATGTATGTCTTTTAGTTTATGTGTGTTCTTTCAAAATGTATATTGATGTACTTTGTACATGTTTATAATTCACACACATGGTGTTTAAGAAATCCTTCTCTACTTTAAAGTCTCTTTAAATCCTTCTCTACTTTAAGGATTATCTTAAACATCTCTTTAACTGTTGCACTCCACTCAGTGTTTAAGAGATCCATCCACGTTATCATGTGCATATTGAGGCTGGGTTCTCTAAAGAAGCAAAACCCATAAGCTTATATATATGAGAGAGAAAGAGAGAGAGAAATTTATCTCAAGGAAATGGCCCATGTGGTTGTAGAGGCTGGCAAGAACCAAGTCCATGGATCCTGAGATTGGCAAGCAATACAGCAGGCTGCTGGCTTTGGAGGGTTACAAATCCAAGATTGGCAGGTTAAATGGCAGAGTGTTGACTCATAGGCTGCAAAAGCAATGATACCAAGATTGGCAGGCAATATGGCAGGCCACTGGTTCAAGTCCAAGAACTGGAGGTCAGATGATGATGAGCCAGATGAAGGATTTAGATTGAGCAAAAAGCCAGAGAGTTTTTCTAAGATTTCCATATATATCAGAAGCAGGTCACATCCCCAAATAAACTCCCTTTTAACTGATTGACTGCTCATAGCAGATCTCATCATGGAGGTGATTATATCAGATCTCATCATAAGGGATGACTATATCATAACTGCTAAATCACCGAGAATCATGGGCCAGCTAAGTTCACACATAACCTTAACTAACATAGTACTGAAGAGTTGACTTGTGAGACATAGGGTAGGCAGTACCTACTTTGATTAAGAAATACCAGATTACAGTCCAGGTTCTACACTCTCAAGCCAATTCCATCTCTTTATTCCCCTGGTGACATTTGGTATCATACAGCTTTCACATTTTCACCAGTTAAATATGTATAAAATCATGTCCATATGCATTTATCTAGTTACCAGTGAGTTTGTAGGGCTTCCTCTTCTATAAATTGCCTGATTATGTTATCCTAATGAAGTACCAGACTTATACTCTTTTAGAAGTGAAAGCAAAGAGTTTTATTGTGGAAAAGGTTTTGAAAAACAGGACACATCCTAACATCCAAGCAGGATACTAAAATGTTCCAAACTGCGACTTAGGGCAAGATGGCAGGCAAGGCAGAAAAGCTACCCAGACCCTTTAAAATAAAGACATGAGAAGTCAAATGAAACAGATATGGATAATAATCTTAGAACCCTGAGCTTCAAAGGAAAGGATACAGAAGTACATCAAATACCAACTAGAAGAAAAAAACTGAACAAAAACAGTGAACAAGGAGGCATATAGAGTGGCAAGTTGTCAACTGGCCTGATACAGCTCAGCCATTTTGAAGTTTTGCAAGCAGCCTTCCGATCAGGG